AAAAAAAAAAAAAAAGACTTTGAATTTTACTCTGAGACTGGGAGCTATTTTAGGGTTAGAGGGTCAGGGCAGAGAAGGAATTGAATCTGATTTAATATTCTAATAGTACTACTCTGGCTTCTCTGGTAAAAATACACTGTAGAGGTGATTACCGGGGGTAAGAATAGAAAGTGGGAGATGAATTAGTGGATTGTTGCCATAACCCAAGTGAAACATAACAGTGGTTTGGACAAGTATGGTAACAGTAGAGGTATCAAATAGGCAGTTTGCTATAGGAGTCTGGAAACCTGGCAAATACACTCAGTTGGACATACAGATTTAGGAGTTATTTGCTTATCGAACTGTGGTGTCCAGTACAGTAGCTATAGTTGCATGAAACTATTTAAACTAATTAAAATTCAAAGTTTAGCTCGTCAGTCATATTAATCCCATTTCAGTGCTCAATATTCCACACCTGTGAGTTAGTGGCTATTGTAGTAAATAGCAGATATAGCACATTTTCATTATTGCAGAAAATTCTCTTGGATAGTGCTGGTATGAATGCTATTTAAAGCCATGAAAATAAGATCATCAAGGTACATGGGTAGAGGGGGAAAGAGCTAATGACTGAATCCCAAATCACTTCAAATTTCAAGATCAGGGAGTTGAGGAGGAAATAGCAAAGATAGAAACGAAGTGGCAAATGAGAAGATAGCTCAGAAGAGTGTGGTGTCCCACAAGCCAAGCATAGAAAATATTTCCAGGAGGGAGTGAACAACTGTGTTAAATGCTGTTATGCTTTATATCTAGATGTCCCCCCAAAGTTTCATGCACGCATAGGTGGGGGTTTGGGGAGGTGATTGAATCATGGGAATGTGATCATCATTAGATCATCATTATTAGGCCACTGACGAGTTTATGGCTAAATGTGATATTGGGAGGTGGAGCCTGGTTGAAGAAAGCAGGTCATTGGAGATGTGGCCTGGAAGGGTATATCTTCCTCCTTGGCTCCTCCCTTTATTCTCTCTGCCATGCTATCCTCCCTTGCTTCTCCTCTGCCATGCTGTCCTGCCTTGGAACCAGCTGACCATGACTGAAACCTCTACAAACTGAGCCAAAATAAACCCTTTTTTCCTCCTAATTTGTGGGTTTCAGGTATTGTGTCTCAGCAATGAAGGAAATAGCTAAGGCAGATTTTGGTACCATAGGAGTGAGGGTTGTTGCTGGACTAAACCTGAGAGAGCAGTGCATGAAGGTGTTAAAGTGAAGCCAAATGCACAGTGGAGACCCAGAAATTTGGAAAAATCAGAAACATGGAATGTCTGAAAAAAGCTGCAAGGAGTGACCAAAGCTAGCTCAAGAGAGAAGCCCTGATGGTTACAACCATGGGCAATGCTATAAATTGCCCAAACCTTTGGAGTTAACATCTTGTGACCAAAATTTGCTCCAGGTGCTAGACATGGAGTTATAGGATTTAATGTTTGCCCTGCTAGGTTTTGGGCTTGGTCCCATTGGATTCTATCCCTCTGTTTCTCTCTTTTGGAGTGGGAATGTTTATCTGGTACCATTGTATGTTGGAGTATTTAACCTCTTTTTGATATTCACAGGCTCACAGCTAAGAGTTTGCCTTAAGTCTCAGAGGAGACTTTGCACTTAGACTTTTCAGCAATGCTGATATTGTTAGGGCTTTGGCAACTCTTAGAGATGGACTAAATTGTTTTTCATAAAGGGATATACATAAGTATTTTGGGGATCAGGAGTAGAATGTAATGGTGTAGATTTAGATGACCCCCCAAAACCTCATGCATTCATATGTGGAGCTTTTGGGAGGTTATTGGATCATGGGGGCATGATGATCATGAGTGAATTAGTCCACTGATGAATTTATAGCTAAATATGATGTTGGTAGGTGGAGTCTGGTCAAAGGAGATGGGTCACTGGAGCATGGCCTGGAAGAACATACCTCCCTCCCCTGTTCCTCCTTTCATGCTCTTTGCTTTCATGCCACCATGCCATGAGCAGCTTTCCTCTGCCATGCCCCTATGCCATGCTGCTTCTGTCCTGGAGCCAGGCAACTATGGACTGAAACATTTACCTCCCTAAATTGTGGATGTTGGATTATTTTGTCCCAGTGATGAGAAAAATGATTAAGACACGTGCTAACAAGGCAAATGGGAAGAGGATTAATAATTAACCACTAGGCTAATTAAAGGGTCACTGTTATACTGTATTAACAATTAATTGAAATAGAAGAGACAAAAACTTTATTGGAGTAGCTTCACAAGAGAATGGAAAGACATGAATTGGAGACAGCCAATAGAGACAGATCTCTTGTGCAGAAGCAGAGAATGTGGTAGCTAGAAGTGAGTGAGATGGAAAGTATTTTTTAAAGATGGGGCAGTATACAGCAGAGATTGAAAAGTTGATTTTGCAGGAAGGAAAAGGGAAAATTGTTGGAGACATATTCTACAATAGACAAGGAGAGGGGTCAAATGCACAAGTGGAGAGGTTGGCATTAAATAGGAGCAGGGTCAGTTAATAATAACAGAAGGGAAGGTAGGCATGGTGGCACATGCCTGTAATCCCAACAATCAGGAGGCTGAGGCAGGAGGATTGTTGCCAGTTTGAAGCTGGCCTGGGCTACATATTAAGTTCAAGGACAGCCTGAACTACATAGCAAGACCCAGTCTCAAACCAACAACAACAAAAATAACAGAAAGGACAATAGATTATATGGATACAGGAGGAATAGGTAGCTGGGTAGATGTGGCAATGAGAGCTTGTCAAAGTTCTCTCCTGATTGCTTCTATTTTCTTTCTCAAGTGTCTTAGTTACTTTTTCTCATTGCTGAGACAAAATACCCAACACCCAAAATTAAAGCAGGAAAGGTCTATTTAGCTCACAGTTCATAGAGGTTTGAATTCATAATTGGCTGGCTCCAAGGCAGGATAGCATCACAGAGGGGAAACAGTTCATGGTGGGTGGAAGGCAGCAAAGTAGTGAAGAAGGAAAGTAGCAAGCAGCAAGCGACACAGCAGCCTTCTTCCTGTTCCTTTTATTATATGCAAGCTACCTCCCCTAATGTAGGTAGATATAGCATAGATATAAACCCTAAGGATGAGTAATACTCACACCCAGGGAGGGCCTTCCCATTATCCACTCCCAGAACTATGCCAAACCAATCAATGGATTGATTTAGTAATCACATACCCTTGATCCCAGTATCACACACTTAATCCCAGCGTCACATACCCTAGATCTAGCCACCTCTGAAAAGTACCCCCTGTGACTGCATAAGGCTTTGGAAGGGCACCTAGACATAAACCATAACATCTAATAAGAAGCAGAGGTATCATCTGATATGTGAATAGGGGAGAAGAAGTTGGAGATTTGAAAGAGGAGATGAAGGTGTGAAATATCCATCTAAAAGGAGTAGAGAATGTGTGGCCTAGGGAAATGTAATTGAATTGCCAGACAGTACTAAGGCTCACTTAAAGTTAATAGTCACAAGTTTAAAATGAAACATAAGCATGGTTGCATGTTTATGTCCAACACATTCAGCTACTGATGCACAATAAATATTTTTAATTTAGTTGAATTGCTATAGAAGGTCAAAGCGAAAGGCTCACTAAGAAAGTAACATTTCAAGTAATTCTTAAAGAATGTGATGGAGTTTGCTATTTGGAGAGGAGGGGTAAAGACAGCAATGCATGCAAAGGCCCAGAGATATGGAAAAGCTGAGTGTATTACGAGAAAATTTGAAAATCAGTGTTGTATGTGATGTTCTTCTAAAAATACACTGAGGTGACTGCAAGGTTAGACAGGAAGAATTTGCCTCATAAAGTAGTTATAAAGATTAAATAAGCTCACTAAATGCTATTCTATACTTACTTTCAGATGCTATTAATACTCAGCAGTACAAAGTCCTTATTGGTAACCGGGAATGGATGGTTAGAAATGGTCTCATAATTAATAATGATGTAGATGATTCCATGACTGAACATGAAAGAAAAGGACGGACTGCTGTATTGGTGGCAGTTGATGGTGAGGTTTTCCATATGTATGCTATAACTCTGTTATGATCTCAGTTAATGTTTTATGTGTATTTTTAAGAGATTTATGAATCATGAAGGTTATTCAAAAGCAGCTTGAATACAAATGAAAATGATAGTAATTTTCCCTATATAAAATGCCAGTTTTATCTCCACTCACTCCCTACTTTAGAAAAAAAGTATTAGTTTTCAGTTTTATTTGCCTTTAAATTTACTAAATATTAGCAGTTATTGGCAAATACCTGTCTAAGGAATATTGTCTTAATAAAGTTTATTTCTTTTTGAAAATTTACATGAAAATATTCTACTTTCATGTAAATGAGGACCAAAATGTATAATAGATAATTTGAAATAGGAAGAAAAGGTTCAAAGAGGAAGGGGAGCTAGGGAGGGGGTTTAGAGGAAAGGAAAGAAGAAAATGAGAAAGGAAGGAAAAAATGGAAACAAAGCTTTTGTAAATAGGGAGGGATGGAGGGATGGAAGGGAGGGAAGGGGAATAGGAAAAAATAAGAACCAAGATATTTCATGTACAGGTAAAAAATCCCAATGGTGAATGTGATCATAATGTGTACCTAAAATGTATCAAAAACTTAATGAATAAAAAATATTATCCTACTTTTATCATATTCTAAACTTTTTCCTTCCAATGCTGCTATATTAGGTGAAATGTGTGGCTTGATAGCCATTGCTGATACAGTGAAGCCTGAAGCAGAATTGGCTGTTCATATTCTGAAATCTATGGGCTTAGAAGTAGTTCTGATGACTGGAGACAACAGTAAAACAGCTAGATCTATTGCTTCTCAGGTAACTAGTTTACTTAGTTGGGGTGGAGGCAAGTAATAACTTCCGATTCTTCCTGTATGAATTATTTCTTGTATTCAGATGCTAAGAAAATCAGATTACCTATTATTTTCATTATCACCAAGTAGCTATATCTGTTTCCTTACAGAAGAATTAATTAGCATGCTATGCTGGAAGTACTCTGGGCTTTGTGTGTTACTGGTATAAGTAAAAAAGTATTTGCTTAGCTCATAGGATACTTGAGTGACAGTGTACCCCAGTTTCTGTTGATACTTCCTGTGAAATGTTGCTCATATTCTTCACCAGTGCTGCCAGTCTAAGCCAGGCTCTCATGATCTCATGCCTAAAATAGTCAATAGCTCCCTGCAGATTCCTCTACTGTGTCCTGAACGCCACAAATGGAACTGTTTTCCTAATGCACCACTTTGACATGCCATTTTTCTGTTGATGCCCACATTTGTCTTATCTCCAACATTTTTCAATGTTTTCTACATTGGGATGCTTTCTCCCTACATCTAGTAAATAACAGAAGGCATATATGAATATTTGTTATAAAAATACAGAATTGTAAAGAGTTTATCATCCAGTTATTAACACTCCCCCATTTTTATCTGCATATATGCTCATATAAAAATGGATAGTTCTGATATTTTTAACATAAATTGGATCATTTTGTGCAGATTATTCAGTAGTTTGCTTTTTCAAAAATTATTTCTCAGAGCTTTGTTCATGTCTGAACATAAAATGTTACTTCATTCTTTGTACACTGCTGAATGGAATTCCATAGTATGAATGGATCATAATTTACTTAACCATTCCCATAATGATGGGGATTTAGGTGATTTTGAAAATTTTTTTGTTTCACCAGGCAGTAAGAAACACCCTTGACACCTTTGGATATGTATCTGTCCAAAATATACATGGAGTAGAATTATTAGATCAGATGATACGCACACTTTAATAAATGCTGCCAAATGCCCTCCACAAAGATAGTACCAATTTATATGCTCAGCACTAGTGTATAGAAAGCTCACTTCTCTACATTATGAATGGATGATAACAGTCTTTTAAAATGTAGGCATCTGGTGGGTAAAAATATGATGGCTCATTATTGCTCAGTTATGCTTCAGATACTCATGGAATAAACTGAGTTTATTTTCCTCATGTAGGTTGGTATTACTAAGGTGTTTGCTGAAGTTCTGCCTTCCCACAAAGTTGCTAAGGTAAAGCAACTTCAAGAAGAGGGGAAGCTGGTAGCCATGGTAGGAGATGGCATCAATGACTCCCCAGCTCTGGCAATGGCAAATGTTGGAATTGCCATCGGCACAGGCACAGATGTAGCCATTGAAGCAGCTGACGTGGTTTTGATAAGAGTAAGTCCTGAAGTCTGACCTCTGAGGAGTGTGAGACTGCCTGACATAGTCAGTGATAATGTCCTAAAGTACATTGAGCACAATGATTCTGTCCTAACTTTCATGTTCCTAACAATTAAGACCTGGAAAATTTGGGTTGGGCAATGGGAATTCTTACTAATTACCTATGGTCTCAATTCAGCAATGTAAATGAGAATTATAAGCTTATAATGTGAAAAGTAAGATTTAGGACTGTATTTGTAATAAAATTACCTTCAACAAATGCTTGCTGAGGTTATTGTAATATGATTTTATACTTATACCAGCACACAACCCTAAAAATATTTTTAGAACCCTAGGAATAATATCAGAAAAACATCTCCCAAGGCTGACTCAAAGTTTTAGCATAGCTGAGATTTATAGTTAATTCACATACTACCATAAGGTACACATCTTCAATATGCACAGTATCAAATATAAAAGCTACTAGAAAATTAGAGTCTCTCACTAATATCACCAATATTTCTGTTCTCAGAATGATCTTCTGGATGTAGTGGCAGGTATTGACTTATCAAGAAAGACAGTGAAGAGGATTCGGATAAATTTTGTCTTTGCTCTAATTTATAATCTTATTGGAATTCCTATAGCTGCTGGTATGTGATTCAAAACTATTACTCCTTTTCCCACTGAAGTCATTAGACATATAATGTTGAAATTTTTAGTCTTGAAAATTTTAGGGTGTGTGTGTGTTGCTGGGGATTGAACTGGGATACATCCCCAGCCTTTTATTAATTCACTTTTTTTGAGACAGGGTCTTGCTAAGTGACCCGGGCTGGTCTAGTTCTTATAATCCTCCTGCCTCAGCCTCCCAAGTAGCTGGGATTACAGGTGTGTGCCACCATGCTTACTATTAGTCTTTGTATAGAGGTTGCTGGTGTTGTGACAGATAATGTTAAAACCAATACTTTTCATTTTCAGTAATGTTCATTACAGCCTAAGAATATATGATCATTCTAACAGGTTTCTTATCGATTTTCCTCCAACGTTATGTTCTGAAAAATGTCAAACCTACGTCAACATTGCAAAAAATGATACAATGAAAATCTCTGTATCCTTCATCTAAGCCCACTAATTGATACTTTGCTATATTACTTTTTATCTTTCTCCATACACACACACACACACACACACATCTATATAATTATGCTGAAGAGAACCAATTTACCTTTAATCTCAGTACCACTCTTAATGTTTTATATTTTTCCTTGCAGTCTTTTTTACTCTGCATCAGTTTTGGTCTTGTTACATATTTGTGACTATCACATACAGAGAATTTTCTGCTATTTACTTAATACTATATTGTAGTCAACAGGTATTCTTTTGGGTTGAGAGATCAAGTGTGTGTGTGTGTGTGTGTGTGTGTGTGTGTGTGAGAGAGAGAGAGAGAGAGAGAGAGAGAGAGAGATTTAAAGAAATATGGGCAATAAATAATAATATAGAATTGTTCAATACACACCTGAGACTCTCCTAAATTTAGAGATTTGGTAAGAGTTAGTAATGACCGGAGAAATAGTTACCACTTTCTTTTTATTGTCTCTGGTTTGAGAACTAACAAAATACATAAAATGACTTAAAAGCAATTACAAAGCTGCTTATGAACAAGTACACACAAATACTTAGAGAACAAAGATCAAAAGAACAATTTAAGTCCAGTAAGATTAATTCATGGAGCAAATGGTTTAAAAAATTATATAATAATACATGATACATGTAGAAAATACATGCAAAAATATCTCGGGTAAGCAAATGAAAACTAAAAGTGTAATAAGTCTATATTTTATCTCCATCATATGAGTAAATATTAAAATGTCTGTCAAAAACAAATGGGGATGAATTTGTACAACATTAACTCCCATGAGATTATGAACTGGTCTAGCCACTTTGGAGATCAATTTAATAATACCCACCTAAAGCTGAACATGTGTCCATGTTATTGTGACTTTATCAGTTTCACCTCCAGGATGCACCCTAGGGAAATTCTCAAACATACGAACAGGAGACATGTTCAAGGATGTTCACGGCAACACTGTATGTGAAAACTTGGCAACAACATAAATCTCTACCATCAAGTAGATTAAAATGCTGAATATCAAAGAAATTAGTTGTTAGAAACACATTGATAGTCCATATGGCATTACCTACTCTAACTAGTCTAATTTGTTTCCCAGGAGGTTTTATGCCCATTGGTTTGGTTTTGCAACCCTGGATGGGATCTGCAGCAATGGCTGCTTCATCTGTTTCTGTGGTACTTTCTTCTCTCTTTCTCAAACTGTAAGTATGATGACTTATTCATGTTGGAATTTTATATGCCTTTTATCATCCATATTCAGTCTTTGCAGGTTTTATTCTTGTATTGATCAATAATAACCTCAAACTATTCTTAATAATTATTATAAGCTAAAATAATAATTAGTATTATAAGCTGAAAATAATAATGTAATTGTCACTTCATATAGTTTATGCATAATAACTACTAGCACTGAGGAGGGTTAAATCTAGTTCAATGGCTCTGAGAACTAGGGTTTCTGATTATGTAACTCCACACAATTCATTTCAAGATTCTTTCCTAGCAGTGACCACCTTTGTACATTTTATGTGAGGCAAATCTCTCATTTGTGCGTGTAACAGCATCTAGTTATTTGATTATTTTAAACTAGTGTCCTTTCATATGTGTCCAGTTATAGGAAACCAACTTATGAGAATACTGAACTGCATGTCCGGAGCCAGATAGGACAGAAGAGTCCTTCAGAAATCAGCGTTCATGTTGGAATAGATGACACCTCAAGAAATTCTCCTAAACTGAGTTTGCTGGACCGGATTGTGAATTATAGCAGAGCCTCCATAAACTCTCTACTGTCTGATAAACGTTCCCTAAATAGTATTGTTACTAGTGAACCTGACAAGCACTCACTTCTGGTGGGAGACTTCAGGGAAGATGATGACACCACATTATAAAAGGCCACAGAAAATGCTGCTATTGAAATTGTTATGCACTGACATGCATTCATGATGTCACCTTAGCTTTTCAAAATATTGTGGAAGGATTTTGTGCTGATATCATGCTCTTATATGAGTGATTCTATTTGAGTTGCCTTTGTCTAATGGCAAAATATCTTTTTCAGGGCATGAGCTCTGAACTTAGCTTTATTGAAAATGAATTTTTAACAGTTTTTTGTTTTTATTTGTGACAGATAAGATAGGGCAGCCAGGTTTACATTAAACCCTACAATTAGAGATTGCTGATTTGCTGCTAAGGTGATAGTTTTTTATTTGACCAAAAAAAAAACCCCAAGAAGAAACAATTAAAATTTTTAAGATTTGAAAGCATGACCTCGAGGACATTTTTGAGCCTGCCCACTGGGGAACAATGACTTTCAAAGAACTATATAGAGTACCCAGTTTAGAAGGTAAACAGTTGAAACTTCAAAAAACAGATGTGCCTTATTTATTGTAGTCTTTCTTTCCCCTTCTCCTTGCATCCTTATCCTTGTAGTTGCTTTCTTAGTTGTTCCAAGATGTCTTTTGTTATCTTCCTTTAAGTGAGCCAAGTTAAGTGGTTTTTCATTGATACAAAAAGTGACAACTTTTCCAATACCTTGTTTTTTTTTTTAATTTTGTAGCTCAAAAGACCTTAAGGTTTTGTAGGCTTCCCTGCCTCTCATCTTGCCATTGTGGTAAAAATATATTAAATTCTTCCTTCAAACTTCCTAGCTCTGTACTAACTTTCAATTAACTCTTGCTGTAAGTTGTTCTTAGCGTAATCTGTCCATCAGTCTTAGTCCAGAAACTTAACATTTTTGAGCCTCTTCCACTCAAATGATTTTGAGATTAACACTATTGTATTAAACATATTCAGTTCATATAAAATTACCTGGATTAACTAAATTCATCTTTTTTGATACAGTACAATCATGTGGCTGGTATATATAATTTAATAGATTTATATTATCTTTTAATGTTTCAGATAACCTGTCAAAATGACAAAAATAATGCTAAGCCAGGTGTGGTGGTGTACAGCTGTAATCCTAGCACTTGGGAAGCTGAGGCAGAAGGACTGCCATGAGTTTGAGGCCTACATAGTCAATTCAAGGCTTTCCCGAACTACATAGTGAGACCCTGTCTCAACCAAGTGGGGGGGGGCATTACATAAAGCTGTTTTTACCAAAAATTACAGTAAATTTTAATATAAAAATTAGAATTGTCCTAGGTTATGATACCTTTTATCCAAATATATGCTTCTGTTTAAAACATTTGCACTTGCCTATTTAGTATGGTTGGCAAATCTAGGGACTTATTCTCACTGCCATACGGATTTAGAAATTCCCCCATGAGGGCCTGGGAAATAAAACACTGGTCAGAGATCTGGTAATTGTATGACTGTTTAAATTTGCTTTTTAACTGCAAAATGGATTTCATATATAGAATGTGAAAATGAAGATTTCTGACATTTTATTCCTATTGCCATACATTAAACTGCTAGCACAAATGTCTAACACACAGGATTTGTGCTCAGTAAATGTTAGGTCTTTTCTTCTTTTGAGGTCAGTACTAAATATAAAAAATCAATTTTAGAAAGTAGAGTCTAAAATCAGGTAAGTGTAGGGAAGAAGTTCTTCCTCTTCTACCCCTTTTCTCTTTTATGATTACACACATGCATGCATGCCTGCACACACACACAGTTTAAAATATTCCATGCTCTCTTTTCAGATTTAGAAAAGAAATAATTACTGTCTCAGCTCTATTAAAGAGAGAACTGAAACTTTTTGAAGTTACTAGTTTTCAATATAATTAAAAAAATTTATTAGCACATTTTAGTTATTACTGAATTATGGGTTTATTTTGACATATTTATACATGCATATAGCATACTTTGACTATATTCATTCTCCGCTTTACCCCTCTTCCATTCATTCCCTCTCTACCTGATCCCCTTCTTCTTCTCTAATCGTTTCCTTTCTATTTTCATATCTTCATTTTTTCCTTAAATTTTTTTAGACTCTACATATGAGAAAAAACATGTGATGTTTGACTTTCTGATTCTGGCTTATTTTGTTTAACTTTTGATGAAGATGCTATTGTAGAAAGGCAAATCCATTTAGATTATATATGTTGTTGTTTTTATTTTTAAATTTATTTAGTTTTTTTTTTTTTTTTTTTGAGACAGGGTCCCATTGTGTAGTTCAGGCTGTCCTTGAACTCACTATTGTAGCCCAGGATGGCCTTGAACTTGTAGCGATTCTCCTGCCTCAGCCTCCCAAATGCTAGGATTACAGACATGTGCCACCCCCCCCAGCTTATGAATGAGTTTGTATGTTTAGGTTTTTTTAGACTAATGTGTATTCCATCTTCCATGCTTATAGTTGGAGTTTTAATAGTCATTTCTTATTTCAATTCCAATGGTCCATCATAACATGACTTTTTTTTTTTTGGTACCGGGGATCGAACTCGGGTCCTTGCACTTGAGCAGCAGGCGACGAAACCACCTAGCTAAATCCCCGGCCCACATGACTCATTTTTTATAGAAGAAACAGCTGATATGACAAAGTATAATAGATTTTTCTCACTCTTGAGCCAGATTGAAAAAAAGAAGCACTCCCACCCCATTCTCATTATTTCTGTCATGTTCTCTCATTATTTCTCTCTTGTTCCCCACCCTCCCTGTCTCTCTCTTTCTCTCAGCTGAACACAACCAATTACTACTCCTATTATATGTGTGTGTTTGAATCATCCCCTTGGTCCCACATGCATGTTGTAGCACAATGAGAGTAGTAGCTTATGGTCTGAAAGTAATCAAGAATACAATTTCAGTTCTTACTTCAAGAACAGAAAATATGTTATTTAGAAAGAGTCCTGCTTTAAATATCTGTAGGCACATTTGAACTCCCTACCACAAGACTCTTGCAAATTGAATTCTCATGAGCTTCAGAGAGAAGGTGTTTTCACTGGAGAAAGATTTATGGAGAGGATCAAAAACATGGCTTTTAGTTAGGAACCAGCTCTAAGTAGTTACTAGCGAATAAATTTTGTAAGTGTGTGCATCTGTGTTTATTCACATATACTGAGTCCACCCAAAATGTTATACATACTTCAGGAAAAGAAAAACTTGTATAAATATTTTAATACTAAATTTATTGAGACATCATGAGATTAATACAAGTTACCTTTGGCCTCTACTAGAAGTGCTCAAAGTGGTGGCCATCAGCTTCTAGACATTGATTAGTATGGCCAACTGCTGTTTGGGTAACCTTGGTCACTAAGATTGCTGCACATGCAATTTCAATTTCTTCTCTAAGGGCCGCAGTATAGTGGGTTTTCTGTGATATATGACATCCTCTAGGGTCCCCCATACGAGGGTAACACCATCTGTTGAAAAAACATCGCACTATTTTTCTTTTCTTGAAGTGTGTGTATACATTTTTTTGGCAGACTCTATATATACACACAAATATGTACACATATATACATACTAAAGGAAACTAGATTTATATTTGAATATCTTGAAGTTCTTCGTATATATTTTCTTTATCACTTTTCTGTATTCACTCAGCAACTATACCCTAGTCTGAAAGTAACAAGAACACTTTGATATCCATTGTTGGTGCAGACTCAGCCAGGGAGCACCATTCTTTACATATCCAAAGATGCCTTTTGAATTTCAAAGATTTAGTGTTGTAGTCTAAAGAAGGATACTTGTCAGTTATGAAAGTAGAAATGCTATTTTTCCTAGTTTAGTGTGAACATTTTAGAATGTTAAATTTGATGCATTGTGAACAAATAATTTCTTTTTCTTCTTTAACCTTAAAAAAATTCTTTATTCAGATATACATAATATTTAAAATGGCACTGTAGACAAGAGATTTCCAAAAATTTAAGCATGCATATCTTTTCTATATACAACTTAAAGTAAAAAATGTATGTTTGAGAATTTTTTTCCATTACATGTGCATCCTGCTATAAATTGAGTTTTCTTTATATTTATTTTACTCTGTTTTGTTATTTTTCTTTAAGTGAGGCATCTGGTTACTGGTAATTTAAAAAAGAATAAAGATATTTCCTGTATTACTCCCTTCAGACTTTTTGTTTTATTTTCTATATTTTAAAAAATGTGTTACTTACCAAATATAAGGCAGATATAGATTCATGCCAAACTATTACCTATTTTTACACTAACTTTCTGCAATCCTTTAACCTGATATGACTAACCAGATAAAGCACAAAACATTGTTATTTTTCAATCAAATCAATTTCTTTAATGGCCTTGATAATAAATGCCTTTTGTAGCCAAAACCAAATGTCTCAACCTTGTTTTTAGTTAAAGAAATGTTTAGCCAACCATTGTTAAACATGATTGCTTCGTACCCAAAACAGCAGTTAACAGTGTTGTGCAGTATGCATTTACTGTAGTCAAGATAGCCAGTAGTTTGTTTTTCCATAAGCATGTAATTGGTTAAATTTTTACCTAGGATGTGCCTTCAACTTTATAATTATAGTGTTGTAAAATTTTTTTTGTCAGTGTGTCTTTTGTTAATTCATCCAGTCCCCTCTACAATAGTTTCAAACTACCTTTGTTGTCTTTTAAATTTTTTTCAGCTGGTAGTCTATAATGTAGCAGGATTGGAAGCAGGACTACACATCAGGTAAGTGTGAGAGTGAAGAAATCTATTTTTTTCAGACTCCATTCAACCTATCATATTATTTAATGAGGATGAGAAACAAAGAAAGGAATGTAGTTGCCCTCCTTTCCTATCTACTCTAACACATTTTTGATGGAGTGTCTACCCCAAATGAGCTAAACAGAGAAAAGAGTTTTTTGTACTTTGGGGAAACCCTACATAATGTGTTTGAAGATACTACCCAAGATATATTCTCATACTAATGCTTTTTTGCATTAAAGAAAGAGGTTTAAACTTAGTTGTGATTTAAAACTAATTTGCATTTCCCCTCAGATGAGATAGGACTGGAAATGAGAACTTGAGAGTAAAATTCCTGAGGCATCCACACAGCAGGCTAGCCTCCCTTTTCTAATGGTATCCTGATTAATCTCAGAGAAGGGTGTCAGAATTCAAAACCTTCCACATCAACAGAACAAAACATCCTATGACAAAGGACTAACATCTAAAATATGTAAAGAACTCAAAAATAATCAAACACTCCCCCCAATATAGCCCTGGGGGGATCACTGTAAATTGTTTGAAAGATGCATGATGGCAGGCATATACTTCCCACATTTTTAGAAGTATTTCTACTGATGTGTTATTAATTTTAATTTTATGAGTTTTATTAAACTATGTACTTAGAAGGAAAATAAAATATTTTTAATATGTAATGAGTGTTTAAACATTTTCTACATCAAGTGTTTATCTGCTTACAAGATCTAAAAAATAAATTTTTATTTTTTGTCTTTTATGTAGAAGATGATATATTCAAATAGTGATAATTTCACTTCTTCATTTTCTATACATATCCTTTTATTTTCTTCTTTTGCCTGATTGCTCTGGATACTGTTGTGAGAAATATATTGAACAGTACTAGTGACAGCAGACATTCTCGCCTTGTTCCTGATTTTAAAGGGGACAGCTTTCAGTTTTTTCTCATTTAATCAGATGTTGGTGGTAGTTTTGTCATAAATAGCTTTTATCAGATTGAGATAAAGTCCTTCTATACCTATTCATTCAGGGTTTTGTTTTGTTTTTTGTATCACCAATGGATGTTGGATTTTGTCAAAGGTTTTTTCTGTGTCTGTTATGTGATTTTTGCCCTTGCTTGTGTTTATGTGGTGTATTACACTTATTTTTTTCCTTAAATTATTTTATTAGTACATTTTAGGTATAAAATACATTTACATTTATCATTGGGTGCTTGTACCTGTACATGATGTATCTTGGTACTTATTTTTTCCCCATTACCTGTGCGCCCTTCACCCCTCCACCCTTTCCTATTTACATACTTCATTTCCATTTTTTTTTTC